TGTACATCTGGCAATATTAGAGTGAGTATAAGCACAAGGGAGCAGTGAGAGAGAAAACGTTTATTAAGACAAGTGTAATAGTTATTTTTCCCTGGGATAAACAACTAAATGCATAAGACAGCTGACCCATTAAACAGATGTTAACATTTTCCCCTGCTCCTTCATTTCCTGCAGTGTGAAAAAATCCAATTGGCAATGACAGTTAAACTAATTTGATTACTCATTAGTTGATGCTTCTCTAATCTTATATCCAGCTGCTGACAGACTAATGAAAAATATAGTTCCACTATGGCCAATTTAAGCTAACTGTGACACAGTTTAATGGGGAGAGTAACGTAAAGCACTGCAATAGTTCAAAATGCAAGGAGCTCAGCCAATGATATGTCTGTTACTGTTCAGCATCCTCATTTAGCATTGCGGGTGTCCCTGTTAGTGTGAATTTCTTCCTCCAACCCTAATTATGTCAGCTTAGTCATGAACTAACATTATCCCTAAATACAGTGAAACCCATTTTACTTAAATTCAAGAAGCAAACTGCCAACCCTGCAAGAAACAGCTGCAGTGAATACCAACAGCCACTGAAAAACATGACATGAGGCCAGTTACATCACAAGTACTTGCGTGAGGACACAGCAAATCCCTTCCCCTTCTGAAGGGTGCAGCAGTTTTCACTGTTCAGTGCACTGTCAGCGGATGTAACTGGACACATTACAAATGCTCCAAGAAGTGGTTTTCCCCCACAAATTTCTTTAAACATCTCAGTGTCTAAGGTTCTGGCAATGGATACACAGATACAGAACTACTCTGATCAGCAACTAATACTCTCTTGGAGCCTTTGATCTCTGCACACGAGATCCAGTTCACCTTCTCTCCGTGCTCAATGGTTAGCTTTGGTAAAACTCTAACATGTTCATTTGAAGCCACTTTGTTGAGCTTTCCATCTTTTCTGATGGAAGCAGGTGCTTGGGCCTTCCTTCTCTGCAGAGATTTTACTGGACTTTTCTGCTGCTTTCCAACATCACTGCTGACATCCCAGAGCAAGACTTTCCCATCATTTCCTCCAGTCAACAACCAGTACGCTTCTGGCATAAAAAGGATCTGCGACACTCCCAAGCTGTGACCTTGAAACTCCAGCTCATGTTCAAACTTGACACCAGTGACTCTGAATATTCTGACTTTACCGTCTTGAGCTCCGCAGCCAAAGATGTTGCCGCATGATGCGACAGACAGGGAATGTGCAAGCGGTGGGTTAAAGAACTGGCCAGCTGACTGTGGACTATCTTCCTGCATTTCATACTCCTGCAGGTTTGTGGTCCACAAGGGGCGAGCTTTCTGCAGGCTCCACAGCATAACCTTGGAAAAAATTATGAATCAATAATTTGTCCATTTTAGGTAAAATCTGATTTTTCGCTAACAGCAAAAAAACCCAACCACACTTCTTGCTCTAGCAGAGTAAAGGCTATGTGTGAGTGCAAGAGATGCAAGATGTGTTGTGAGGAGTGGCTGAACTTCACCGGATAAACACAGTAAATCTTTACAGCATGCTTTCCAAACCCTCATACTGCCCTACTCAGCAAAGTCAGTGACTCAGACCTTTAGTCCACAAAATGGATGAAAAACCTATTCTAAATGCTTTTGCATTCATCTCAGCAGTGGTAATCATGATCTACTGCACATCAATTATTTAAAAGGAGGGACATGGAAACGCTAGCAGTAAGTAGAGATCATTATCATTCTGAATTTTACTTCTGTCTCTGCTACGTACTTGTCCTAAAATAATCACTTCTGTGAATGTGTTTGAAAAATGGAACAGCAAAAGGCAAACAGTAGTTCAGGCCCTCATTTTTAAACAGACATATATGTATTTTTTTAATATCCAATGAGTAGATCTGGTTTGCGCTATTACCATATCGAGGTAAGGCACACTTTTCCTGATGAGATGGGAGGAGGTTGCGCTTTTAGACTTGTTTTTAAAATGCCACCTCCAAGCCCCTCATGAAGCAGTAATTGTGTCTTCAGATGAATCCTGGATCTCTCATACAGCAATTCAAGTGCTATAGATTTATACTGCACCAGTTAAAAATAATTCTCTCAATACTTCTGTAGGATCTGAATCGATGATGAGCATTTTCAAGGCCAACAGGTATGAAAGCACAAGTCAGTCCAATGCAGTACTGGTGTGCTGTTTGCTTTTTTAAGCAAAGCTTTAATTTGTTATTAATAAAAATACTCCTCCACTAGTAATCTCCAGTAGAAAGTACAGGAGCCTTTAAATTTAGGCCACAAAAGAGTTGTCACACTGGCTCTTCGTTTCTGGAATCCAAATCACACCAAGACATCTGAAATGTGTTGTTTCCTGTCACTTTTCTTTTTTAGTGACTGCTGCTGCTGCTACATTAAAACTACTTTGTTACCAATGAAAGGGAAAACTTTCCACTACTGTGCAGAGAAGAGTAAATCAGAGAGGCTGGGTCCTGATGCTTAAGGCAAATATTCCTGTTTTCAGCACAGAGAGTACTGCAATAGCTTTATGAATTCATCAAGTGCTAACAAGTTTTCTGCAGACTAAGTATTTTCTGTCCTCATGGCATTTTCCCTGCTTCCATGGAACTTCTGAAAAACTCCAGCAACCTAAATTTCTGTTCTCATCAGCTACAGCTTCACTGAGGGTTTGACACACAAGCCCAGAACAGGTTTTGATGCTCGTAGGGCTCCTAACTTGTCCAAAGACATGCTGCAGCACAGCATTTCAGAGTATTGCAGCTCAGCTTCTCTTTGTGAAATGATGTATCTTAAAGCCAGCCTTGATGTGGAAAAATGCTCTTTTCATTGTACAAAAACACACTAACAAATTCCTACTATTTTGGGATAATGACTTTCACCTAAAAACCAACTTGCTGAGCTACAGTAAACCATTCTAAAACTAAAAAGTCACAAAAAAATAACCAGTTCACTCGCACAAAAGTGGTATATAAATGCTTACAATTCTGATAAAGTTTCCAGCCATAGGCCTGTAAATCTGCATTTTAGGGACCTGAATTAAGCCAGCTGTCTAAGGTGCTGAGCATTTACTCCTCTCAGACTGACACTTCAGTGCCTCTGAAAAGAAGTGTCTCACAATACTTCATTTCAAATCCTACATCCATCTTTTAGTCAAGCTAAGGAGACAAAAAAAAAAAATTTTGGAAAATTTCTAAAAATTTGACAAAGTCTAAACCTGGCAGACTTCCATCAATCAGCCCCTATTTGGATATATATACTTACTGAATTTAAGTGATCCATGGCTTTCATACGGAAAGATACCGTTTATACTAAATATCAGCACGTTTGTTCTAATGGGTGTTAGGTACACTTCGGTTTTAACAACATAGGGTGAAACTGCTCAACACTGTCAAAGTAAACTTCACCCTAATACCGCTAGAACCACAGAAACCTGTGTAGAAGTGATAGTTTTAATCTTGAGCTAAACTAGGAATGTGGTCACATCTCAACCACTGGAAAGAAATTACTGAAAAACATCTGTTCCGGGTGGCCAACTCAAAACTCCATTAAGTGCTAGCATGGTTTTTCTCAGAACACCTCCACAAGCGGCATGCAAAGGACAAAGTTTCCTCTCGATGGGGACAGAGAAGTGCAGAAGGCAAAGAACATTTAATGCTTCCAAGAGGTTAATCAGAACAAAGGATAAATTAGTAAAAAGACTTGTCCTTACAGTGATACATACCACTTGGAAAGATTTTATCTACCTGTAGTAAAGTGTTCTTGCTAGCATCCTGTCTGCCTCAAGCATTTTGCCTTTTCCTATCACCTGCATTTCACCTGCAGCCATAGCTGATAGCTAGGGACAACTTCTGGTTTTGCTCGGTCCAACAGGGAGCTAATGTGGCACGAGCATGCTTTGCACCATATTCTGATTTCCTCCCACCCTGCTCACTTTTAGATTGTATATACTAAGGAAGATAAAAACAGGGAGGGGAAGTGCTGTGTAGAAAATGGCACAAACAGCCTCGACATGTAAGTTTCTCCGCCAAAACTACTTTAGAATAGTTAAGGAGCTTTCCGGTGATTGCAGGCTGTACATCCTCACTCTTGGTGAAAGTCTGTTGGTGCCTCACTACACAGGTGGGTAGTTACTGTTCTGCTTCTCTAATAACCATCTACTTGTATGCAAATCACCTGCATGTCCAGTCCACAGGAAACAAGGCTTTGAGGCCTCTGAGGTCGAAAGACAACAGAGGAGCAGATGTTTGAGTGTCTCAAGGACCGGCTGACTTTCTTGTTTTCCAAGTCCATAACCTTTATTGCTCCCGAGTCATCTGCGGCTGCCAAGAAATTGTCGGTCTCGTTCACTGAGAGGCAGTTGATCTCCTCCTCATTCACGTGGAAATGTTCAACAGGCTCCTTGAGGGATCGAACATCCAGCAAACTGATAGTTTCTCCGTGGGAGGTGTACAGCCTGGTGGGATGGTGGGGAGAGAACACCACAGAGGTCACATCGTCTGCCTTCGGGAGCTGGAGCTGTCCTGCCGGAACACCTCCCCCATCCCAGAGCGTGAGCTCGCCTCTCTCTGCGCCTGAAGCCACCAGCCCTTCCGTGTTTACATTCAAGCACAATATAGAGGACGAATGTCCACCAGTCCATTTGACTGCCATGTTTCAGGGACACCTGAAACAAACAAACAAAAACCCTCAATTGAGCTGGTGTTGGTCTCATTACAGCAGAAAGCTTATTGAAGCAACAACATCATCCCGTTGACTGTAATGCAGACTACTTGAAACTCTAGTGTCCAATTAAAACAGGCACCTCTACAGATCGGTACACAAATGAAGCTTTGGCTCAAACAGCATCAATGTCAGCCACAACAGCAGGGAATGGCAGCGGTTGCTGGCATGTGTACCTGTGCAGTATGTGGTGTAGATCTGCTGCTCTGAAGTGGCTGCCTAGGTGAGAGCTGCTTCCTCAGTGCATAAGGACATAGCGTGCCTGACAAAACAGGGGCATGGTTCCTAATGGGACGTACTGGGAAGGAGCAAGGGGAAGACGGCAAACTAGTAAAGTCCGTCTGCAGAGAAGCCACGCTGTTCCAGTCCAGGTGAGAGCACATGCGGACATCTGTCTTTCATCCAGCTGCCGAGGTGCTGCGTAGTCAGTGCCTAACATCAACTTGTAAAGCAGTCTCGCAATACCTGGAGCAAGAAACTTGTGCTGGTGAGACTGCGATAAACTGATTAATGCTGAAAGCCATTGCCTTAATCATGGTTTAAAAGCATACATGCATGTGAATAAATTTTCAACTTTTGTGCATGTGTACTTTGTGTTCCCAAAGTGAAGGTAATTTTCTCAACACCGGTAAACACTAAAGCATAAAGAGATAAACAATAGCATCTTTTTAAAAAAAGCATTACCAGTTTGAGACAGGTAGTTATGAGGTTTGCAACACATTTAACTGGGCCGCAAAGCACGCCCATCGAGCTTACCATGCTCCAGGCCCTTCCCTTGGCGTGACTGCCCGCACCAGCCCCTGTGACAGACAGGGCTGTCTGGGGGACCACATCAGCAGAAAATTAAGTGGGGGAAAAACCCGAGCAACACAAAAGCATAACAAGATCTGGAGAGACTAGCACGCTGTGGGGGAAAAGGAGAGCTAATACCAGGGTAGGGGCACAGACGGCAATGGGGGGTTTGCGGGATGGAGCTACGGCTGCCCCAGCGGCAGCTGCAGTGCTGCCTTAATGTCTATGGCTTTATCACATTATTGGGCAATAAAGGGTTTCTTTTTGGTTTTCGGTTTTTTTTTTAACCATGTTACGTTTTGCCAATGATTTTTGTTGAGCCTGGTCTAAAGAGCAGCTGGAATTCCTTCAATCCACCAGGAAAATTTCAGCCCTGTCGATTAAATAAAATTACAGAAAGCGTCGGATACCTTACCGGCAACTCGGATCGCAAACTGGCAGCCAGCCGCTCGCCCGCGCTTCGGGAACTGAGGTAACTTTTTCCCGGCTGCCCCTCTCCCTCTCTCCCGCCCCACAGCCCCTCGCACCGGTAGGCCCCACGCACCGGTAGGCCCCACTCCCGGCTTTTAGGAAGACAACCGCCCCAGCGCCGGGGAAGGCAGCTCCTCAGGGGAGCTGACGCAGCTTTGACGGCTGTCCCTGGGAGGCGGCCCGCGCCCAGTCCCCTACGGCTCCCAGGGGCGGCGGGCCCCGCACCGGGC